CGATTCCCAAATACCATAAATTTAGTTTTATCCAAATTCAGAGATAGTATATTACTATCACACCATTTCTTTATCTTCTCAAGTTCCTGTGAAACCCGTCCAGAGAGTTGCTGTAGGTTTTCACCCGATGCCCATATGGTAGTGTCATCAGCAAATAAAACCACTTTCACTAAATCCCAAACCTTGCATATATCGTTAATGTATAGTATGAATAATTTAGGTCCCAAAACTGAACCTTGAGGCACTCCACATACAATGTCCAGCTCACTCGATTGATGTTCACCCAACTTTACAAATTGACGCCTCTGTGTCAAATAACTTTTAACCCATTTCAGAACCATTCCTCTGATCCCATATTTTTCTAACTTGTCCATTAATAATTCATGATTGACTGTGTTAAATGCTTTTTTTAGGTCAATAAATATTCCTATCGTGTATTTCCTCTCATCCATAGCACTTGTTATGTCCTCCATCAGGTCGGTAATGGCCAAAGATGTCGACCGGTTTGACCTAAAACCATACTGACAGAGAGGATTTTATGTTTATCAATAAATGTATCTAATCTGTTATTAAAGAGCTTTTCCAGGCTTTTTGAAAATTGTGACAACAGAGAAACCGGTCTATAATTTGTGAAGTTGTGCTTATCACCAGATTTATACAGTGGAAAGCTACATTGGTGTAGCAAACAAAAGGCAAACAAAAGGAACAAATGGATTCACACAGACAAAGACAACATATTGTTCAACTTTACATCACCAGTTACTCTTCTCTTCACACTTTCTCACTTGTTCTCTTCATTAACCTGCTATAGACAAGGAGATAAACATGTTGTCTTGTGTTAAAAGAAGAGAAGGGTGATTTGCTTGTTGGGGTACATGAGAAACAAATAAAAAGGCAAAAGGTGAAAGAAAGGGAAAAATATCCAAGAGTCATAGAATTAACACTGCAGATAGAGATAGGAGGTGAAATAAAGCTACTGTTGTAATATATTCCATTCAGGTCTCAGGGATAGGATAAGACAAGCTAACTATGCCTTAAAAAACATATATTGAGCCCTCGCAGTGGCTTGAGATGCTCCTCATCCTTGCACTACTGTCTCCCAAGGGCCTCTCCATCTGAAAGGCAACTGTAATAAATTATCTTTATCTAGAATCCATTGTGCCAAGGATGCTCACTCTTCAGGGACACTGCAGACTCGTTTGGAACTATGCTTCATGCACCACAGGACAGTAATGAATCTAACACAGACAATGATGGAAAGCTTGAACACTTTACATCAGGTAACATGATAATGAAAAAAAAAACCAAACCTGGACGTGACAGATTCAGAGCTTAGATCTCTCACTCAGTCTGTCATATATTTTCCTGTATCTCTCATATGTCTCATGTGTTTCCTGGATGATTAAATTCATTTGTTTGCACTTTGTTCATATCTTTTTCTTTCTTTATTTCAGTGTTGGTACTATCCACATACAGCAACATAATTACATAATTAACTATACCTGGTGTGGTCAGTCTGTTCAATCATGTAACATTAGTTTTACAGTACAGTCTGGGGTCAATTTTCCCTACTTTTTAATATTACAATAGACTAAAAAAAACTGGTATGAACTATTGGAAAAAACATATTGTTGTGTATAATTTAACTTATTTATAACAAGGAAAAATCTAAAATGTTAAGGTTTTTTGTCTTGTTGATGCTGTGTCTCTTTATTTGTAGCAGGACTTAATAATGGAGTACTTTAAGCCCTGAATGTATTATATTGTAATTCTACATATAACACATTACTCCTTGCATTTCTGAAAAAGAGGCATTGTTGCCCCCACATTATTTAATAAAAAAGAAGCTTTTTTGCCTAATTTTAAGTTGACTGTATATCCTTGTTGTGTGCCCAATGTTTATTAGGAAATCTTATGCAATAGTGCACACCTCCCCTCAGGCTTGTACAGTTAGATCTGCATCTGTGTTGAATAGAAACCAAAGTCAAAACTACCATGGAAGCCCATATGCCCTTAGTGTCTAAATGTGAGAATTTCTTATTTAATTTATTACTTTGCAATACATTACAGACATAGAGGCTTAAAGTATGATGACTACAGGCAGAGTCATTACTAACCATCAAGAATTTGATTTGAATATTTTGTACTGGGTGAAATTAATTGGTGTAGCCAAACTAGAGAAGCATGAACATGTAAATGCATCCTTTGTAATAATAATTATCTTCTCTCTTTCTCTGTTCATGCATCTTTTGTTTCTTTCCTCTCACAGCTGTTAATTAGTGTTGTTGATCTTGCTCTTGGGAGATGAACCAGAGGTCGAGGTTAAATCTTTAGACCCTGCTAGAACAAGGAAAGGTCATGTTGTGCATGATCAAAGTGAGGGGAAAAAAGAAGCCCAGGATAATAAACCTCTGTCAGTGTTGCCCGAAGGCAAAGCTCTGGACAAACATGCCTGGCCTATTATTACTATAATAAACAAGCTAACTGGGAATTGTGACTATAAAAATGTGCAGACAAGCAGCATGAAGGCAATTTTTATCAGCAATAATGGTGAATGAACTTGGGAATGTTTGGGGATGCAAAGAAGCCAATAAAGCATAAACAGAAGCACACCTCACACAAACACATATTTGCACTCCTTTTGTTGCACTTCATCATAACTGAACCTTAAGCCAAGCTGAATTATTAGCTTAAAATTTAATCTAAACCCAAAACCAAACCATAAATTAGCCCCTAGAGCCAAAGCCACCATCATTTTGAGAAACATCTTTCATTTATTTAACTGTATAAAGACATCTGTTTTTCACACTGTAAAAGACATGAAAACACACACAGATTTTGCTTTGCAGTGTTATTTATTTGAGCAGTGATACATTTTTAATTGCTTTGTTTTTATAGTGCAGATCTTTGGCTTTTATGTGAAAAACATGTTATTGTTGCTGTTCAGCTTTACCTACATTATAAGATATCCACTTCAGATGACGAGTGTCTGAACTGTTGGCTTCGCTCAGGCCTGGACTGGGATAATAATCCAGGCCAGCAACATGTCAGCCCACTATACTCTCAAAATATCAAATTACACTGATCTGGTTTATGTGTTGGCAAACCATTTCCTAATTACACACCCAGGAGACAGGGAAGCATTAGTATTGATTTGAATTTGTGTTTGTGTCCACCTCAATTTCCTTTTAGCTCTGTTTTGGTTCCTGATAAAATTGTCTTTTTAGCTGCTAGCTTAGCCATGAAAGTTGCTAACTTTGTCATTATTAGCCTACCAAGTGGATAGCGTACAGTTGGTCTGAGAGGTTTGCTGAAAACAGTTGTTTTGATGTGATGATTAAAAATACAGCAAATACCAAAACCATGAGCTAAAAGAGGCTTGTAAATCTCTAAACAGCTGCAAAGTTGGTGATAATTCTCTGTGATTTCATCACTGTGACAACTGCTATCACATTGCATGTACTCCATTGAATCAGTCACTATAAAAATATTGATTACTGCAGTTTAAAGCTGAAAGTCAGCACAACCTCATTCATTTCAAATGCAATTTACTGCTGTAAAATAACTTGGACAAAATGGGTCAGTGATGTGAAATGTAGCCATATAATTTGACTTCTCTTACATACTATGAATAGTGCTATTCAAACATTCCTGCGATAGAGGAATGAAACGTTTATTTTTTTGTGTGTGTGCTTGTGTGTGTGCGTGTGTGTGAGAGAGAGAGGGTTGATTTTGACTTTATTTCAAATTACCTACTGATCATTGAAAGTGATGTGTGGTCAGGGCCCCTATATAACACCACTGAGACAGACATCTGTGATCTACACTTTCATTTTCATTCTGAGTGACAGTGACAATCTCTTCTTCACCATCCAGAGCTTCACAAACCTTGTGTGTGAGAGTGTGTGCATTTGTTCTCAGTCTGTGCTGCAGGCCTGTTCGCCTCAAGGCTCTCTGTGTGTCTTTGTGTGAAATAGAGGCAGGTGTTGCTTGCATCCAGGCCAGCCAAATGCACTGTAAATGGATTTCACATACACACAAAGCAGACAGGTTGATGCCAACTGTGTTTGAGGTGGCGAATTCCAATGTCCTTCCAGCTTGTTTTCAGTAGCCACTTTGATGGAATGGTGAAATTATATTACCCCTGTGTGTGGGCACCCCAGTGTTTTACAAGTTCGGTTTTCCATTAGAGAGAGTGACTTTTTCCCATATTGTTCCCTGTGGTCATCATGAAGCCCTCTATTTACCAGCCCTGCACCTCTGGAGATAGCCTGTCATTCAAAGTGATTGACAGACAGTTTGTTAAAAGAGAAAACGCTAGTTATAGGTCATTTATTTCTGCCTGTGTCTGAAGTCTGTTTGCTTCATTTCAGCTAGGAATGGATGCTGTATGCAAAGTACTGAAATACAAGCACTTCAAAACTGTAATAAATTAAGAACAAGGAAAGTTATGGCTCAAGAAAGTTAGATGTGATAATTAAGTTTTAGGGGCGGTTTCATTATAAGTTGTCTGGTAAGTTTTCCTTTTTTTTTTTAATTCAAGTTTGGCATTAAATTAGTTTATTTTGATGTAGTCAAGTGTTTTTTGAAGGATGTCCGTTTGTAAATTGCTATGTGTAGTTTACTGCAGATCTAATCAGCTCCTGCTGCTCACAGCTTTAAAAACCAGTTTTTAAGAAATTCCACAAAGTCATCCTTTAGAAGCAGTGTCCCCATCACTCTGCATGATCTCCCAGTCCCACTGTCAATGGTTTGGGATTACTTCCTGCTACTTGGTAAACAGAATCTTTAATGAAACTATCAGGTTGTTCATCTACTGTATACCAACCTGCAGAGGGTTGCGAGGGGGCTGGAGCAAATCCCAGCTGACAGTCGGGGAGAAGTGGAGTGAAATATGAATAGATCTCCAGTCTATCAAAGGGCTAATGTGTAGAGACAAACCACCAGTTTGAGCAATTTAGAGTGACCAGTAACATGGATATTTCTGGACTGTGGGAGGAAGCTGTAGTACCAAGAGAAACCCCATGTAGACATGAGGAGAACATGGTTGACCATAAGGTTTGAACCCAGAAATTTCTTGCTGGGAGGCAACAGTGCTAACCGCTGACCATGGTACCACATCTAACACTATAATCCAGCCTGAAATATCTCAACAGCTATTGGATGAATAGCCATAAAAGTTGACGCGGATATTCATGGTGCCCATACGATGAGTACTAGTGACTTTGGTGATCCCCTGACATCAGCAAGTCATTAATTTACTCTGTGGATTATATCTACATCTACTCGATGGACTGGGAAAAAACTTTAAACCAGTATCTATGAACCCCCACACACTATATCCCAATGACTTGGAAAATCTCTAAACCTTTTCTCCATGATGAGATTACCATTTGTGATTTTGATTTAAATGTCCTGACAACTAGCTTTTAATGGATTGTCATAAAATTTGGCACACACATTCATGTTGCTCTCATGATGAATTTTAATCACTTCTATCTAACACTGTCATTAGGTCAGAATTTACTTTTGTTAACTTTACCATCAACCTCAGCTATCCTTTGAGTTTAGTGCTAATTAGCATGTTAACATGCTAATATGTTAACTTTAAATGGAGAAGATAGTGAACTCAAGCCTGTGACTGTTAATCATTTTGCTCAAAACAATCCTTTGCTGCCCCAGTACACTGGTAGCATAGCTGTGGACCCTTAAAGCTTGTAACCAGGAGGTCTAATAACTATTAACAATATGGGAGTAAAGTTACTCCTGAAGAGGACAGGCATGATTACACTTTTCTCAAGAATTTGGTTTTATCATCATCAAGAGCAGGTAGTGGTGTCAAGGTAACAACAACTAATAGATAGATACCATGTTGTATATCACATGATGTCCTGCTTGTAATGCTGATTATATAGGCAAAACTGCCTTCCAGAATATATGAAACTTCAAAAGGATTCAAGTGCCATGTACTGTATCATTTTATCTTGTATGACATCATCAGTCTAAATGAGGCACCTAAACAATCAGCAGACCTGGTATTTATTAGGCGTCATTTGGTCCACCTGCCCTCAGCAATGGGTTTTATAGTAAAATGAAATGCTTAAGAAAACAGCCACTATACTTATGTTCTCTTTTTTTTGTTTTGGAGTAACTTTACTTTTATATATGATAAACTTTGTTAAATTTTCATCCATTATATACAAAAAAATCTCATGATCTCATTAAGTTATGTTTAGCATTGACTGTGTCTTTTCCCTGCCCCCTCCCTCTGTGTTACTAGGGCATTATCCAGGATGTGAAGTTGATTTTTGCGCCCAATGGCTACATCAGCCAGTGTCCTAACCTTAATCGCAGTAAGTATCATGATGACACAATTGTACATGGTGTTATGAATCACACTGAGAGCAAAGGTGGACAGAAAAAAAGAACTTTTTCCATTACTGTGTGCCATTATAAAATTGGACTTTAATGAGCTATGTGACAGCTGGTAGTAACCTCTGCTGATTACAGAAGAAGCCTCTCTCTATTTTTTTCTTCCTCTACTCCAGTAATCTTCATTTTGCTGTAATTCATGCTCAGTGCAGCCTCCTCTAGCCTGGCTTTGTTTCTCCATCTGTTTACTGTCAAACAGATTAAGATACAAGGCCACCACTGTACCACTGCTTCTGTCACTGATCAATAAGGCATGTAATCACACCTTGTCAGTTTATTATGGATAGTAACACCAGCCACAAGCCAAAGATGAACAAATGCTTCCTTTGTTGGTGCCACCATGAGCTGTGTTAAAATAACTAAGACATTTTTTGCTCTGTTTATCTCCTATCTAAATACCTCTCTCTTCCACTTTCTCTCCTGATCCTTCTGTGTTTTGGTGCTGCCTTTCCTCTGTTGAGCTTGTCCGACCTGCAGCGATTTCCTGAACCTGGTGCAAGGCATCATGGATCTTCAGGAACTGCTGGCCAAGATGACCTTGAAAGTAAGAATAGGTTACATCCTCCCACAGAGGAAACTACCACCACCGGCTCACCAGACTATAGAACAACTTAGAAGAATCTATAATACGATGCAAAACTGCAATCTTACAGATAAAGGAAAAACACTGAATATGCAAAATGTTAGTGAAACAAAAGAAATAATCCCCTTTAAAGATCCACTAATACTTTTCAGTTTTAGCCTGACAAACAAGTACATAAATATATAAATGAAAAAGAAGAACTCTCCTCCCAGGCAGAGACAGCTCAGTCCTTTGATTATGTTACTGCCTCCACAGAAGCATATTATTCTTTCTCATCTAAAAACAATCTTTTTTTGTGGTAAATTTCAGTTGTGCCCAAAAAATTATAGTATCTGTTGGAAAACAAAATAAACATATAATTGTGAACATGGATTGCACTGGCTTTAAAAACTCACTAAGGGCAGTTGCTTGATCACAGCAGGTCTCAAATGATTTTATTTCATGGTTTTGTCTTTGCAGTTTAGTCACTCAGGGTTAGGGTAATGAAACAATGGAAGATTTACACTTTGAATATACAGTTCAATTATAACAATGGAGAAAAATGTAAGTGTGCATGCACTAGTAGCTTCAAGAAAATGTATTTGATTATTGTTACTTATAAAAGTAAAGTAACAGTAAAGAAGACTAGAATGTGACTGTGTAAATTATAGGTGACAACAATTTCAGCCACTTAAATGCTTGTTCTGGGTTTTCGCTATATTATAGAGTCATAACTAGTGGATGCAGTTGCCATGAAACTGTAACTGAGAAGACACTGAGTTGTAATTGTTTTGTCAACACATGAGTAGAGTTTTGATGCTGAGTAAACACCTTAACCTCAAGTTTAGGCATTGTTGTGTATTTCATATTGAAAAGATGAAGGACAGTAATGGTGAAGATCAGTGATTATAGCTTTTATGAGCTTATGGCATATTATTTCAAACAGCAAAGGGGCTACTCTGCTTCTGCTCAGTGTCAGGCAAAAAGAAAAAGGACATTTCCCTTGACAACACATTGAAATGTGTTAGAGGAAAACCTGACTGCATATCTTGGCTTAACTTCCAGAATTTGGTTACATGTCACTGCCTGTTTTTATTTAATTAATTACAGTACAAGGGTTTAAGATATCTTATTTATGGAGAAATGCGATATGAGTAAATTTTAGGTCGGTAAGATGTTCATAGTTATCTAACATTCATTTACTGAAATTAAGGTCAATGTAACAATTTATTACAGCATATTGAACATTTTCAGTATGGCGGCTACACCTTTATTAGCATATGAAGGGGTGGGAAAGTAAGTGAAATTGCTTCTCTGCTTTGCTATTACTGTCATTTTAAATGCTTGTGATTATGTTTTTGAGTAATACACACAGTACAAGGTTCAGAAAGGTATTAGGTGGCTAACGGGAAGCTAACAAGTGCTGTGCATTGTGCCCTGGGGCCATGGGGGAGACCTTGAACCATTTATAAAACTGAACATGTGCATATCTGTCTCTGTGTGTGTATGACTAACTTTATTAATACAGCATATATGATTGAGTGTGCGTGCTTATATGTGGGAGTGAATGAAGCAAGGACATCTTAGTGGGCAGGCGAGCTATAGAATCATTTTTAGTGTAAATGAGGGCGGAATGAAGAACATTACCCTACCGCTGTGGCAGTGCCACTTCCTTCACATGAACACACCTCGAACACATCTCACCTGACCTCATTGCTCATACAAGTCCCAGCAGGGAGGATATAGTCATCTCTAGCAGTAAATGGCTCTGTGCCTTGATGCTGTAGGAATTCAACATGGGGTGAACAATTGCTAGGTTCTGAATGTACAATGTGGCGTGTCAAGGCGAGGTGAAATAACGGTAAGCTTTGCTGTGTGTGGATTAGCATGACAGCATTTGCATGTATCTTACTGGTGTGTTAGTGAGAGGAGGCACAAGCATGTCTTTATGCCAAAAGTAGTACAAAACAAACAAAAAAAATATCACTAGAGATACTAATTAGTTTTTTTTGTTTCATTTAAAGATCAGTTCATCCTGATTAGTTTTCCACATACTTCGGCTGTAATGTTGAACTTTTCCGATATCTGTCTTATAGATTTCTGATAATACTGGAGGTAAAAATGGAGGAAGTTTGTTGGTGGTGGTTGGCAAACATGCAGTATGTAAACATTAAACTACAGTTTTGCTCATAATGCAGTCTATCTTTGTGATCAATTAAAGACAAGATTTTGAGATGCTCAAACTGTTTAAAGGGGGAATAATGAGAACTTTCTATGCACAACTCGCATACTAAAGATTTGTCCAACTAGAAAACTCTTTATGGGATTTTGTGAAACAACAGGAAATGGTCCTTCTTTCTTTTACAAGAGAGGTTGAAATATAATCAGCAATAATCTTGATTATCATTTGCCAGGTACAGATCTTTTCAGGTGATTCCTCACCTGAAGTTTGAAGGTACTGAATAGGGAGGTAGTCTTTGGATGGATAGAGACTGAGGATAGAGAGGTTCTGCAAAAGATGGTGATGTTTTAGAGGGTCTTCCTGGTTCTCTTCTTTTATTGTTGTTTCAGCTTTTCTTTCTACCCTTCATGTGCTTCCTCCCCTCATGATGTTCTTTCTCCTGTCTGTCACTCATTGTCCTTCCCTTTAGATTCCTGTAGGAAACTTGATAAAGTTTTGGTCTGATGGCCCAGAATATGCATCTCTGAAAGGGGCTGTAGATTGCTAGTTTGCTAGATGCCAGTATGTCTTTGATGGTGAGCTAATGTTTATTCTAGCAGCATCTGCAGGCCACAGTGGAATGTACACTGCACAGTTTATGTGATGCCAGGGTCAGTGTGTTCTGGTTTAAATGGCCTTGCAGAAGATAAGGGATGCTTATCTTGAACATTAGTGTCAGGTCACTCTTGAGTCAACCATTTGGTTTGGTGTCTGAAGCGCTATTGGCCAGCATTCTTAAGGAGCGTCTGGTTCTTTTGTCTGCTCTGAGGAGACTTTCCCCTACAGCATTGAAAAATGACATTTTCACAATCAATAGGAACATCTCCTTCCAGAATCAGTGTCCACAGACCCTTTTGTTGACAGATTTTGAACTGCTGGCAGCATGGTCAGAGTCAGACACTATATCTCAAAACTCTGAAAATAAAACCCAACCTCTTTAAACACCCCCAAATCTGCCATTTGGGATGCTTAGCAGTGATCTTTCTCTCGTCCATCCTGCAAATTACACTAACAAATCCTTTTAAAAACCCATTGCATGGGTCATTTAAAATAAATAGTCACAGAGGATGTTTTCTTAAGCTAATGAATAGTTAGCATTTTGGAGATCCATGGTCTTTCCAGCAGCCATTAATGTATACTTCTAAATAAATGATGCATAAATTGTTAAATATTCTTCTCCATTGCTGCTGCAGTTAATTCCCTTGTGTGTAAGTTGGTGAACAATTCAGTGTTCTTGTATATAACACAGGATTTATGGTCCGTGTGTCAGCTGTTTAAATATTGGTAGTTACTGCAGGACAACTATTTTGATTTGCTGGCAAGTTACACCCATATTAGCTACTGATGCACATAGAATAGCAAGTCCAGGGGGCTAATTTCTGTGTTTACTTTAACTTGGATGCTGAGATAATCTTTTAGGAAACTGAAGTTTATTTGGATATTTTAAGAGGACTTGCTCAGGTTGGGTTGATATGTGTTGTATTGTGTCTCCCTAACCCTAACAGAGGTGACAAACCACTGAAAAAGGTTGGACAACGTAGAGTTTTTCCATGTTGTGCTGTTTGGAGTGAGTTATTCAGGATTTTTGTTGCTTACAGCAATGTCGGTTTCTTACAGTCCTTCATTGCATTTGTTTCATCCCTCCATCCATCCATTATCAAACATTTATTTGGGGTCAGGACATGGCGGCAGCAGTTTTGGTAGGGTGGCCCAGACATTCATCTCCCCAGCAACGTTTTCCAGCCTCTCCTGGGACTTCAGCTGAAGCTGGAGTTACATTTGAATTAACCTACAATATTTATGGTAGACTGAGTTTTGAAGGGTAGGATTGATGGACTCCACTATGGTGTAAACCAAAATACATCATTTCCATCAATTACAGTTTAAGATTCTCTGGTCTAAGCCTTTAACATTATTATCAAGGTCTTGCGTTTGTTTCACTGTTACAGCTAACAATCGCAGACATCCCAGATCTGGATTACAAACAAAATCAAATTGCTTGTTGGCCCAAGACAGATGGGTTCCTATTAGTGTTGTGAATTGATTAGAATATTTAATTGATATTAATCACATGATTGCCTATAGTTAACTCATGAGTAATCACTTATTAATGGCACATTTTTAAATCTTTTTTAAAACAGTGGTAGAAAATAACTAAGTACATTTACTCACATACTGAACTTGAGAACAATTTTGAAGTATCTGTTCTTGAGTATTTTCATTTTCTGTTATTTCATACTTTGACTTCATACATTTTAGAGGCAAATGTTGTACTTATTCAGCCACGACATTGATTTTATAACTTTAGTTACTTCAGTACCAGATTAATGCAAAAAATACAGTACTATTATGACTTCATTGATCTATGCTGGAAAATTCACAAGCTACCCAGCAGTAATTAAAATGAAGTGTATATAAACTGAGTACTTTTATTTTTAATACTTTAAATATGTTTTGATGCTAGTACTTTTACTTAAGTAACATTTTGAAAGCAGGACTTTTTACTTGTAACAGAGTATTTTTGCACTGTTGTATTGCTACTTTTACTTAAGTAAAGGGTCTGAGTACTTCTTCCACCACTGGTTCTAAATGTACCTTAAAGGGACCCTGACGTAACTGTGATTACTGTGATTACTGAGAGAAGTTCGGTTGCCTCCGGTGTTTTTTGTCTTCATACAAGTTGCGTATCTTGGTGACATTGGTGGCTCTCGAAAAGGCAACTCATATGTGTAGTCTTTGGATGTGATACAGATTATTTCAAGAAGACCCTCATCCTCCACGATGTTTGTCAGTCTGTAAGCTATAGCCACCCATTTAGCTATCACTGTTGATAGTTTGGCAAGGGGCAGGAGGCCTCTCTGCATCAGCTGTGTGCTTGGCCAGAAAGTGGTATTTGAGACTCGATATAATCTGGTGGTAACTCAGTTGACATCAACAGTAAATGTAAATAACTTTAGTCTTATCAGGTGAACCATCTGGCAGGGCTTTGATGCTGAACTGTTGTTTCTGTTTGTCATCCGCAATGTTACTGCTGCCAAAGTATGGGGTGGGCCGAGGGTCATAATCATAGAATGTGCATGCTTTAAAAGATTGCACCAAATTTTTGGGTGCAACAAAGAGATTTTGTGGCATTAAAAGGAATTTGTGTTAACGCATTATCATGTTAACTTTGACAGCCCTAGTTCCTATGCATTTCAAAATTAATTTGTGTGTTTGGCATATCCTTAAGACATGCAGACAAACAACATGATGAAAGGTAATAAATGTACATTTTATTACTTTGTTTAGGCTATGTATTCTACTCTTTATTATGTCACTCATATCTCTTGGCCTCATGTGCCACCCGTAGGAGATGCAGTACATGCCTATTAGCTTCTGACTCCTTTGTGTACTATCGCTGTGCCATTTGAGGCTCACATTGTACAGGAAAGGCATTCCTCAAGGCAGCTGTCCAACCTTTGAAACTGCATTTCAAACATTTTTTTTTTTTAGGGTTTTGACAGGACACATCTCTACCACTTGCAGCTCTGCAGCAGCCAGTCGGGACTTCTTTAAATGAAGTAAAAAGCTTCACTGACATCCAGCATTTGTCTTTTTTTATTGGGAAGACTATCATTTTGCTGTGAGTTCTCTCAGTCTGACACTGGGGCCTGGGTGGGTTTCAGAGGAGCAGAGGGGACAGAGGCAGAGTCACGGGGCAGCCTTGAGTGTCTAAAATGGACCTTACATTTTCTGAGCTGACCTACATTGCTCAAATCAATTCAAACTTGTTGAATTCCCTGACCTTCCCACCTTTCAAATAGGATTCATTTTTGACTCGTTTGTGGGTCAGGCAGTGCTTGTACTGTAGGAATATGAGTTTATACATTACTTGCTTTTTGCGTTTAAAGGCTATTTTGCACAGAAAACAAATCCCATGAAATATAAGTGTGCAGATTACAGTAGGCAAATAAGGTAAATTCAAATTGAACATTGATGGATGCTCATTGGTCAAATGCATGTAGTTAATTTGAGTGATATTTAAACTTGATATGCTGATCATCGTTTATCTGAACTTGGATTCAACTTAGTGAGACATAATTTAAACTATCTGTATTGCACAATTAAAGTCCAAGTCAAATGCTAGTTTAAATACCACATAAAATGCAATACAAGCCAGGCTGATTGAGCTCTGAATCAAACATATCACCGACTGTATAAATATGGACAACGCCTCAACACTTCCCTCCACTATGCGAAAGTGAAACCAAAATATAATGGCTATTGCGGCTGTCATCTCGGCACTTTGCAACCAGGTTCTGTGCATTACCGACCGAGTATTTTAGTCATGTATCAGGCTGCCAATCAAAGTGGTCAAATCATCAGACCTACACCTGTTTTTATATTGTCAAATAACTTATTAAAAACAAACTTCCTGGAAAAGTGCCAAGCAACACACATCAGTGTGATACCAATAGCCACAGAAATCACCTCTGGAAAAGAATTATCAGGTTTTTACTTAAGGTTTTATTTTGGCTTATGTCCCGTCCGCTAACATGGACAAGGTGGTATTTATGACCAACAATGCAACATGCCACCAGGGTGCGCTCAAGTCACAGCACAGTCAATGATGGTGACCCATAAATTGAACATCACCAAATGTGTCAAAAATCTGGTCAAAGGTTTGTAGACCCTTGATGCGCATTGATTCCTTCTCAACTCCTGTGCAGTACAAAAACATAGCACTTCTGTGCACTGGCTGTGAACACAATCCAGGCAGCAATAACATTCAATACAAAACATTTGACCAAAATTAATTTGATATATAAACATAACTTGTAAGAGATGAACTTGTTAAATCCTTATTTGAAAGTTAATTCTTGTTTTGTAACCCATCTTCCGTGACCTTCCATGCAATGGTGCCTCATGACACTTTTGCCAAAGATTCATTACGTCTGTCAAAACAACCTTGGAGAGTGTTGATCATGATGTAAGCTTAATGAAAAGGGCCAACCAGTGTGTAGGAATTAAAGACTGGTGAAGTAGGATTGTGACTGTCAGTCCTGTCTGGCACTTCTTAGTAGATGATAGCCTGAGGTCTGGAGCATGAGCTGAATGACAGTCACTTATTATGTGCACCCTTCTATAATGAGTGGCTCTGTGTGAGAACTGACCGAAGTGCACCAGAGGGCAAGGAGCTGGAGTGAGGGGTGTTGTCATGCATGCACATTCAGACTTGTGATTTAGTTTAGTTACTCTGGTGATTCTGTATTCATCTGCAGTTGAACTATGCGGAGTCCAGGTTGACCCAGCTGGAGGGCTGTCACTGCGAGAGGACCTGCAGTGCCAATGGGCTGGTGTACCGGGATAAGGAGCTGTGGGTAGAGCCTGAGAACTGCAGGAACTGTGCATGTAAGGTGAGTGTCATCCTCATCCTCAAAATCAAAGGATCATCACTGCCTTATTTGATCATGATGTAATAACATTGTAAAAAAAAAAAAGTTCAGTTATATCAAGTACATTTATGTGTTATTGAGCCTCAGTATTTTTGGGGAAAAAATCTGGATTATTCTAGCCTGTTTCCAGTACATGTCAGCTTGTCTTAAAGAGGTCTGTATAAAAGGTCAAAGCTAGAGAGGAAGCAAACTGAAGCTGAGTTTAACTGCTTGACACTAAGTTTCATTTTCCCTGAAGCATCTTTAAGATTGTTAAAATCCTCATATTCCACACTGTTTGACAACACCTCATTCTCTTACTAAGGTGTTTTTGGCCTTTTTCACTGATCAGCCACAACATTAAAACCACCTACCTAATATTGTGTAGGTCCTCCCTTGTGATGTCAAAATAGCAGTGACCTGTCAAGACGTGGACTCCACCATCCTACTCCTTGACAGGTGCCATCGTAATGAGATAATCAACACTGTCCACTTCACCTGCCAGTGGTTCTAATGTTGTGGCTCATCAGTGTATATATAGTGGCAGCAGAGAGATGACAAGTAGAGGAGAGATGGTGAATGAAATGTCTTTGGGCAGATGTGAAATCAGGATGCTGTGGGACATGGTCTGTAAACCCCTAGGCCAAGGTCCCCCAGCAGTATCAGCATCAGCTCTTTACTGAAGCCATATGAAGTTTTGGTGAAGGATTCAAATCCATAACACATTTAAAAAAAATCTAACAACAATTTCATTTATATTTGAATTAGGTTGAAATCAGTAAATGTAGATTTCTCAGTTTTTAAGAACATGAGAATTCTGGGACTCAGTAATAAGGAAAATTGACTTGAGATAAATGGTTTGCAGTGCACAAGATGAAATTAAAGGAAAACTGTAATTAAGGGAAAGTGGGTACAACAAAACGGCAAATGATAAGATTTAGAACAAAATAACCTTGGGAACACTTTCGAGATGACTTATTGATGATACATTATAATATTTCTTCAATGGAAATTCACAGTAACCCTATTTTCTCCTCACTAGCCTCCTCAACCTGCCTTCCCATCACACCCTCCTCTCACCAAGCCCCTGCATCATCTCTCCCTGCCTCCTGCTTGGCCCCTAATAAGTGCCCCCTAGCCTCCCTGCCTACACTCAAACACAGGAGCCAGACTTTGAAATGTGTTGAATCAGGCCATTCCGCACCCTGGGGAATTGGACTTGCTGCATCATTGCACATCAAGCACAGGGTGGAGTTAGTCGGTCTGATTTCTTCCCGTGGACATGCCATTAACTGATAACTGCGGCGTCCTGGGGGAACCATTTCCAATGACTCATGAAATGAAGAGGCGCTTGCAGAGAGTGATATCAGCCTTAAAAATGAAGGCGGTCCTTCAGGGCCCGAATAACTAACTACCTGCTATCAGCAGGCAGCTCGGTTTCAGTATTTGCCATCCAGTGCTTGATGATGAATCTGTTATCTGATTGTATGACATTATGATTTGGGTTTTTATTCAGAAAGTCAGTTTCAGATTGCAGTCCTAAAGGTGAGATTTCAAACAGCTTTAAAGTCGGTTTGCATGGTGCTGGCACTGCAGGAGCATTACTGTAAGCCTAATAGAATAAGAGCAAACATCAGTTTACATGGCTATATACTGTATATGTTTACTGTAGTTGTATTGGAATAAAAAAAAATTGTGTAAATATAAACTGAGACACTGAAGGAAGCAGAAGACCTGCTCAGTGTGGATCCTTTGGCAGTGCAGCAGGCAAAAGCCATATGTTTACACTGAGCAGTGGGTTATGACTGTGATGTTTGCATGTGTTGGGGTTTAATAAAAACTTTTTCTTACAGAATGGTGTGGTGGAGTGTCGCAGGATTTTTTGTCCTCCAGCAAACTGCTCAGAAGATTCGTTGCCTGTACACGTTGATGGAACATGCTGCAAAAAATGCAGACGTAAGTATAAGTAGCACCCGTGCGGGTCAAGCAGGAAGCAGAGGAACTCTTCACACCAAAATCTGTTAAAATTCCTGCATCTCATGCACAAAAATATCTTCCACTCCATACAAACGCACTCGGGTGAAATTAACTGTTAACATGGCTGCTCATTAGTTTTTTCCAAGCAGTTTAAATAGTTGATGATGATGATGCAGGTAGAATAAGACTATTAAAATCTTCATGTTCCTCAGTCTACACCATCCAATCTACCATGTCATTACCAGAAATATATTGTCTTAATAAACCAGTATAAAGCTAAGAATGGTGTGATCTCTCCACAGCTGCTTTGTTGATAATCAGGTCTTCTCTATAATCCTTTTGGTTTCATCACTACATTTTAATTAAGAAACATTAAATGAAGTTGTATATTTTGCTGGCTTATTGTGGTTTACTGAGGTATAACAGCATCATGGTACTTGGATAGATGGTGGAAAATAAAGTCAGCTTAGAAGCATCATTTTTGAACCAAGTCCTAAAATTTAAGAATTAGCATTAGTTTACACTAGCTAGTTTATCTAGCTGATAAACATCTGTTAGTGACTGTTAGTAATTTCAGTCAGCAAATTCTTCCACCTTTTTCGTTTTGGTTTTACCACACCTTTTTTGCAGTAGTACATGGTCATATTACATTTCTGGTAGGAAAGTTGTCTAATGCATGTCTGCTGAAACCAGAATGACGAACAAATTCAAATATGTATTTAATGTTCTGCTGCAGCCTATTTCTGGCTCCGGCGGGTTTGCAGATCAGTGTTTACCCTTGTTTAGCTGTGGGTGAGCGGTTGCCTTCTGCAGCCCAGTAGAGGTGTTTTTGCTGCACCATGTTTGGACATAGGGAGTTTTCCTTCTTTACCATTTTCAGCATATTTCAACATTAACAGAGTAAAGTTTACCGTTGTTTTCATACTCTTTTCACACTTTGTGATTGTTTTTATCAGTTATTTTTTTCGGGCATCAGAAATGTGACAGCACATTTTGTTAGACAGAAATGTAATGTAATGGTGTTTACATGCACATCCACAAAAATGAGCTTGCCAAGAAAAGAAACGTAGGCTTTATTCATTTGAGCAAATAACAAATGCTGTTATTTTTGACCATCCTAAATAGTCAGCTTGATTCTTCTAGCAGTAATCATTATTTGCAATGAAGGTACTACTACAACAATGACTGCAGACAGGCAAGAGCCCTGTTGTTAGGGGCCGATAGAGTAAACTATCTGAGAGCTACCATCACAGATCCCTGATATGCATAGAATCACTACTTGTAGAATAAAACACACACGTGTGGTAACAGCTCACACACTCGTGGACAACTGTGTTTCTCATGATATACTGCAGAAACACTTAAATCCCTGTAGTATAGTTTCTCTTTGAATAATTCCAGCCCTGTCCTGCCTTCATTCATCCCTCTTCTCACTCCTTCCTCCCGTGAGAGCATCATAGCTCCGGCACAGACTAACGAGTGAGCAGCCCTCCAGAGCTGCGCCTGAGCACTCCACGGTCCTGCACCCCGGAGAGAAGAACAACAGGACTTCATATCACATGCTTCATTTTTTATTTTAGCTTCATCACTAGAGGAATACACAGAAGGGTCTCCCATGTTGTATTCTTAATGCGCTGTTACAGCTCCTCTCTGCTTATGCACACAAGCCTTTGTTTGAATTTCCAATGCAAAACGTCAGGCTGAACCCCACCCCCCCACCCCCAACAGGCAAATTGTCATAAAACACTGATGTCAGCCACTCAGAATCAACCCCCACCCCCAACAGGCAACCTCAGTAATGATTTTCACTATTGTTGAAAGTAACACATGAGCTGACAGTAGCTGATTAATCATTTTATTTCTGGTATTTCATAGTTACTGTACTTACTTTAGAGTGATACTGAAGCAGCTGTGTTCTGTTTTTCCTGCCCACAGCAAAATGTACCTACATGGGCCAGACCTTTTCTGAAGGCCAGCAGTTTTTATCCAGGAGCTGCAGGGAGTGCAAGGTAACAGTTCTTGTCATGTTGTAGATTTCTTTCTCCAATGTTTCGCCTCTGCTCTGCCATCAGATCAACACGCAGCACTTCTCTTTCAGCGTAAACGTCATGACTGTGTGTTTGGTGGACTGCTCAGTGTGTTATTCAATTAGCCAGTAGGCCTTATTAGTTTTCCCCTTCCTTCCCCAATCTGTTCGATCTGTCTTTTTTTTTCTCCTCCCTGAGTGAGAGCGCCAGGTGATTAGAATAATTTATGAACACGGCAACACAAAGGCTTGATTTGAATTGGAGCTTCTTCACTGTGCAGTTTATAATTAAAGTCATTATTCCAGTTCAGCATTGAACAGAGGTGAGCTTTCTTTACTGAAAAACCATTTATCTTTAAAGACACTATTTGAAGGAGAAAATTTGCATTTTATACAAGTAATTGCTTACAAACAACAACACAGTGGATTCCTTGACTCATCATTAGCCCCTAGAGAGCCTGGAGCATCAGTATATTGTTTATAAGCTTCCTTTCAAACAATTAAAGCCATCCTTTGCTTAGCGATGTGAATGTTGCTAAATGACACATTTGGGGACAAATGATTTTTTACAAGGGGCTCAAAAAGGTTTTATTTTGAGCCTTTCCAGGGTCTTTAATGTTTGGGTCCCTGATAGTCCTAAATCTCATTTGTATGTTTCAGCCTGCATGTTGAATTATGTGAGTAACAGATATGAAAGGAACAAGCAAAAGGAATGAGAGAGAGTGCATGAGGGCCACATTATGCTATTTATAGATGTGTGAAGTGAATCAGATCATTCTGGTCCACTGCTAAACTAATTTAGGCACCCATTGGTTTCAGTTCAGAACCAGGTCACCTCTATGGAGAAATAACACTCAGTAATAATTGCCACCAAAAACTAGAGAATTTTCTATATTTTTGTATTTACAGATCAAATGGAGTTTTGTCACTGTAAGGCAGGCTTTAATTTGGAGAAGAAACAAATCCAGTGATTTTTTTGTTGTTGTTTATACAGCCTCTGTCTTGTCTTTAAATGTTTGATCATTTGTATTTGATGTGAAAACATCTTCATGTTTTATAGAGATACTAGGATGCAGCCGCTTTGCTCGACAGCTTCAAAACATCCAAAATTCAGCCTCTAGCATGAAAGTCAGATGTGCTACACAAGCCAGTGCCCCAACTCCCATATATGTACACAATTCTTCACACATTTACAGTGAACAGTGTCATTAGATATAAATTGTGTGCTGTACAATTGCCCTATACTAATGTAATTTATAGGACTACTGAGCTGAGTGAGTAACGTGGTGAAAACAAAAGTGAGTGTTAAATGTTTGGCACGGAGTGTGTGCTGTAAATGTCTATGAAGGTTTTGCATAGCAGTTAGATTAAAATTGCAATCACAGTTTCTTGTCAGTGGGGGACAGCAAGACAAAAAATTGACATATTATCTTATAAAGCTTTTATGGCTAACATATGAGTAAACATTCATTTATTCTACACTGAGCAGACACGGAGCAACATTATCGTTCATTTTCATTGGCACCGCTTATGAGAAAAGCATCTATCTGGTGCTTTTAGACAAAGCAGCTAGTTACTCTAACTTTTTCTGTCTGCTGTTTTGTTCTGGACAGGTAGCACACAGTGAGATTATCACAGCTTTTTGTCAGCAGCTACCTCCTGCTGCTAGAAACAGCAGTGATGAGAGTGGATTTTGTGAACATTAAAACCAGAACAATGAGCTAACAGACTAAAACCAAAGTTAATAGTGCTGCAAACTGGTTGACAGTGGCTTTGTTACAACTAATATTTTGACTTTAGATATAGCTGTTTGAGCCACTGTAAATGGAAAAAAAGGTGCGGCTTTAATTGATTACCTGAAAGGCTGGTTCATTTATCATGGATACATTTATTAAAGGGGAAATGATGTGACTGATAAAGGGCTGACAGTGCAAAGTGTATGCACTATTAAAAGATGAACTGAGGAAGCATGGCATAAAAGCAAGATACTGAAGGAATCGAAGGAGAAAAGCATCTTAGGGATTTGAGTAAATACTTTAGACCTTGTGAGGCATCAAGGCACCTGAGCTCTGACATACCAGCCAGGCTGCTGCTGCTGCTGCTGTGTGTCTGCTCTTTGTTTTGAAGACCCAGGGGAAGATGACACAGACTTTTATCTACATTTGTTGCCCTTCTTTGGTGGGACTTATCTGTACCTTACCTGTTATCTGTATTCATACCCTCTTGTGAATGTGAGCAGCACAAACAGCCTTCACATTTTGCTGTTCATAATGCACTACACAGATGGGTATATATTTCCGCTGTGCTTCATGTGGAACATTTTTAACTTATTAACTATAAAATGTATATTTTATTCATATTATTAAATGTTCAAAAGGTAAAAAAATTGCATGGAATTGCATTATGTGTGTCCAATGTGACATTCAACAATAAAAATGATTCTAAAAGAAAGCATCACTCCCAGCATGCCTAGGCCAGCCGGCTGTTAGCAAGTTCCCACTTTAATAGCGTTTTCCTTTGCTACTTGTTCATGGATTTCACTTCTCCATCAACCAATATAACTGATCCAAAAATGACTAATATGTGTTGTCTGGTCATGCTTTGGCAAATAAACCCATTTTTCATGTTAGGGAAAAGGGCAGAAATAAATAAACAAACAAAAACAAAATAGTGGCGGTCCAAAGGCTCAAAGTGGGCACGACTGCAAAGTTACTAGTTTGTGTCCTGGAACAGACTGGGTCTCTTTTTTTTTTTTTCTTTTCTCCGATGGTGTAATTTTCTGGTGAAGATAGTCAACTCTAACGTACGCTCGTTCAACCATTTCACTCCAGGACAGAAACTGTAATGTCTTACCTTTGTCCCATTCTTCCAGAATGGCCTGATGGTGAAAGTCACAGAAACCTGTCTGGAGATCAACTGCACCATCAGTGAACAGATCGTACCAGATGGCAGATGCTGCAATGTTTGCAGAGGTATATCTTCTTTCTTACTGCACCCCTCTTAGTTGCATGAATCAGTCTTTCTGTGAACATGCACGCACCGATTCCCTGCCACTGTGAAGAAGTAAACAGCCAGTCTGCCGGATGCTGATTGAGCCTACGCCTCTGCAGTAATTTTGTTTCTCTTCCTCTCCACCCTGTATGAATGCTTCTTGGCTGGGGTACCTATCAGAGCAGATTGGTCTGGCTGTTATAGAGCACCTGCTATGCCAATTTGCCTAAACCTCACTGCTTTGGCAGCGAGGTACTACAGGGTAAATAGCCACCAGTAGTAATTCAGTAAATACAGTGAATAAACAAACTGTTGGAGGGTGTCAGATGTAGTGCCTTCATGATAGAAACCCGGGGCAGATTCAGAGCGAAGAAAATTGCACGCTCATTTAAGTAAGATAGCTTGCCTTAGATTCACCATATTCAGAAGAGAGGAAGATAGAGATAAAAGAGAAGGCAAGGAAAAGATGTTTAGAGGAAAGGAAAGGGAGACAGAGAGAGGAAAGGTTAAACAGTGTAAGAGAGAAGACAACACGGAGATGTAGTGGGGATATAAAGTCTTAGGCCAGATTCCCACAGGCTTTCACTGTGCATGAAAAATCAGCCCTTCTCATTCATTTGAATGGGAGAAGTGCTTTACGCAGTGGGGACCAGCACCACAATGTAACAAAAAAGCTGGATCTGGTTCAGCTTTTTCTGCAACACAGTGAGACGGCATCTGGCAAGGTGCTGCATTGGCCAATCACTTACATGCAAATAGGCATTCCT